GTACTTGGTCGACCAATTGATAGTTGAGGCTCCTCTGGGACAGTGACCAATGCATACAGATCTTCGGCTTCATGCGCTAGTAGGAAAACAGCCGCCGGCCTCAAGTGTGCACTCAAAACGTCTGCTGAGGGGATTTCTGAAGAATGCGTATCTCATTCAGTAGCTTAATATAAGCGGAGCTTCAGTGGAGGAAAATTGCACGGCTATTGTTGAGAAAATTCAGAGCTAATGCAGTGTACCTCAAAAGAAACTGGCGCGCATTCTGATTCATTCAACTTCATCAGATCAGATTTGACAAGACTGAATCATGAATGGCCTCTAATCGACATTTTTTACAGCGAGGGATTTTTCTGTGATGTTTTGCCGAACAAACTTCTTCAGGCTACTGCGGTCAGGTGAAGTGCATCCAAGGATCCCGAAGGAAGCATGACTCAGGTCTACTGAATATTTCTGCACGTCTATCCGTCAGTCACTTGACGGACACAACTACTCTTCTGATTGGAAAGAAGAGACTGTCACGCCAATCCATGAAAGTGGTGACCGCTTATCAGCCAGCATCTACAGACATGGTAAACGCACCAGCGTGCCATACAAGGTAGAGCAACGTATTCTGAGGCCGGCCATTCCTAGCCACCTCGGTACCAACAATATCCTGTCAGCAACACGGACTCTTTCCAGACCGTTCTTGCGTTCCACTGTTCCACAATCTCAAGACCCATTAGATTATGACGAAAATTCTATCCCGGATCGTGGCTCTCATTTCAGACAGCAAACTCCGTGTAAAATATGAATCATTCATCTCTAGCCCTTTTCCGGTGCTCAACTGCTATGCAACCCGAAGGTTGCATAAGGGCTGCGGTACTGCGAGGTTGCCCAAGCCTAGACAGGGGAAGTCGAGAGGGAGTGGTCTGGTTCGAATCACAGACCTTTCGGTCAGCAACTTCGCGCTCTTACCACTGAGCCATCAGCCCATTCCCCTGCACCTTTCAATTCGAACTCATAATGGTTCAGTCTTAGGGCCACTCCTCCTTCCCATCTTCGTCGAACACTTTCTCGATATACCCTCAAGCCAATGTGTACTTTGTGCGGATGACTTCAATCCTGGGTTTCCAAGACAAAATGCACTTCAAATATGTCGATGCGGCAAAGCAGTAGTCACTGGGCTGGCGTCTTTCTTTGAGTGAAAAAATGTATCCATATGCTGTTTGGAGGAGAGTTGGAATATGTAACAGCTACCCTTTCGTTTGTTTACTCCTCCAAGCAATTTCACACCAGCACCTAGTATCCACATTTTTCTTGGTTTGCCTCACAATCATGCGTCAACTTCATGCAGCCCATCGGCGCTGACCAAGGTCGTTCAGCATGTCGTTGAAACTACCCGATACATATCCGATCCACCATCTCCGCTCGATTCAGTTATCACCATTGAAATGATGTTCCAATGGAGCTTCAATCAACACTTGATAAACGAAGTACATTTCTGTGGAGATTTCGTCCTGTAAGTGAAGCCAATCTATGCTGAAAAGCCGAGAAGCTTCTCGGCTTTTCAGCATAGATTGGCTTCACTTACAGGACGAAATCTCCACAGAAATGTACTTCGTTTATCAAGTGTTGATTGAAGCTCCATTGGGACATAGGGACCACTGTGTGCTGACCTTTGATTTCATCTGCCACTCTTCTAGGTACCCAGAACCGCAAGCATGAAGCCGAAACCTAATCTGGAAATAGATTCAGTGGAAAAGACATACAGAACCATTGTTTGGAAAATCCACGAGGCTGACGCGGTGTTCGTCTCAAAAAAGCAGGGCGCGGTCTGATGGACCAGAAGTATTCGGCGTCTTCTGGAAACGAGGTCCCGACCATTCTTCAAAAAGGCAACTACGGGAGACGCAGAAGATGGGCCGGCATTTCGAAATATGCGGCGCCGCTGTAAATCGGAAATCTGCCAATGGAACATTCGAAAACAGGCCATGATACTAGACCTCGTCCCGAAAATAAAAGGTGTACTCAATCAATTGGAAAGGTTTGGAACCGATTGAGAAGTCATCTTTTCAGAAGGGCTTGATAAGCAACCAGTAGTATTTAAATGGACAGCTTTCCGCTTTTGACAGAAACGCTTCATTAGGCTAAGTGAGCAGACCGCAAGGCAGACGGATAACCAACCAGTGAGATCTCTTCAGATTAGCACATTAGATCAGCGTTGAATGTTAACTAGAGTGTATTGTCAGTTAGTGTGTTTGCCTAAATTTTACGGTTGATGAGTTAGGGGAGTTTACCAAGCCATTCTGAAACGAAAAATGTATTACTTAAGTACATGAAACACGGCCGAAGAAATGAGCCAACCACCTTCTCCTTCAGGGACAGAAAGGTATTTGTGGAAACTACTGTGGCGTCAGCCTGGCGGCTATGTCTTCGTAGTCGCCGGTCTTATCCTTCAACTGAGAATGACAGATCCGTGAAAACCTAGCTGCTTTCTGCCCTGCAGGGGAATTCGTCGATCACAATTCCACTTTTCATCAGACTCTGGAACAGCTACACTGCTTCCAGCGACCAACGATGGTTGTCTTCCTTGACCTGAAGGCCGTCTTTGACTCTGAACCGTTAGGCATTATGGCAATGTCTGTGGAGCATAGGTTCTCTCCGTAAATTCTTTACCCTCAAGGAGGTGCTTTACGCCAACTCCCGCAGACGTGTGAAGGTCCACGGGAAACTTGACTGATTTCACCACATTAAGTGGTATCAGGCAAAGCTGTTCTCCTTTACCTTCCATTTTCAACCTCGTCGTTGATACGATGGCTCAGTGGTAAGAGCGCGAATTAACTGACCGGATGATCCGTGATTCGAGTCTGAACTTCGCCTCTCGACTTCCCCTGTCTAGGCTTGGGCTACTCGGCAGTATCCCAGCCCTCGTGCTTCCTTCGGATGGCATGACAGTTAGGCACCGGAAGGGTGCTGCAGCTGAACCATTTTTCTTAATACAATTACGGAAAATGTCTGTGGAGTCGAAATGCCACCAGGGAGTTTGCTCCTAAATATGTTTCTAGTTCTTCTTGGATCTAACGCCGTCGTGACGCAAATAATATTCAATAGTCTAAATAATTCTGTCCCACGGTTTTACATGCGCTTCACGTCTTCAAAGTGTCAAGTGCTGCTGTAAGACTGGTGGACTCGAACCCTAGCCTCATGCTTGCGGATCAGCCGCTTGAGGTAGTAGGCAGAGTTGTCTACCCGTGCAGCTGCATCAGTCGCGGTGGCCTCGCGAAGGATGATATTTCCACCTGGATTGAGAAGGCAAGAGCAGCTTTCGCAGACCTTCATCACCTGTGATGTAAGCGTGACATCAGCTTATCCGTCAAGGATCGACTTTACAATAGTGCGGTTCGTTCCGTATTATTATACGGGTCAGAATCGTGGCCACTGCGCGCCTAGGATGTCAAGAGACTTTCAGTGATTGACCGTCGGTGTCCTCGGAGAACTGCCCGAGTCTGGTGGGAACACCGGATCAGCGATGCTGAAGTACTTTGAATGGTTTCCGGAAGAAATATATTGCCCACGACAGATGAACTGGTCACATTGCATAGGTCATAGGGGCTTGGTCACGTGTTCCGTATACCAGTCAACCGACGTCCTCGGAGGGCTCTTTTCTCACAACCACGTGAAGGATGGAAACGAGCAAGGGGAGGTCAAACAGTGACTTGGCAGCGAAGTTTGAAAACCATTGCTAGAAAACTCATCTTCGCTGGTCATTGCCGTCTCCCTGGATGGGGACCTCGATACAAGACACACCAACGACTGGGGATATTGCCAGACAGCCCAATCGCGCCCTCAGTGACGCTCCTGCATCCAAGCGATTGTCTTCAATGCATAGCTTCCCTGCCCATCTCCCTATATAGTAGTTCGTAGAAAACCCTATATTTACTCATCAGTTATATCAGCTACCGCCTCCAATGCGCCATTATCTACTCTCTTCCCCAAAGCATTCGTGAACGAAACTGTAGCAGCTAGAACCACTGTGTGACCTGTATACGGGTGTTACAGCTGCTGCTGATGGTGGTGGTGGTGGTGGCGATGAGTCTTCAAAGCCGTTTATGCTTCAGATATGCTCTCACGCCTGGAATACGGTAGGTGTGAAGCATAGCCCCCCTCTAAATTAGGTGAATCGTAAATAGGTGGGATGAAAAGGGATGCAAAACATCTGGTTAGATGGGTTACAGGGTTTAGTTCAATCGGCGACTGATTTGAGTGCTCTTTAACGGACAATACGAGGAAACCTCGGATAGGAACTGTCCGCCTACGTGCCGCTGCACAGTGACAACCGACGAAGTGGGCACTGTTTCGGCAAATACACTCATTTGCATATCAGTTTGGTTTTCACAAGACTCACCTGAACCTCTCATCTATGATGCTCTTCAAAGAGTTTTCAGCAACCTTGTGAGTAGTTTCCTTTACGAAAAACAGAGCTTTTGTAGGATCCCCGCGACTCGTGTTAGCACGCAAGTTTACCAGTATCTGGTACTCACTTCCTTTTTTCATGTCAGAAAAGGCTGATAACAGTATCTTCAGACTCAAACTAGCTGAACATTCGAGAGGCGTTTGACATTGGTCTCGATAGCAACTTTCGGTAAACGCCGGCAAATGAACAGATGGTGTTTTGCGGTCATCTGTCACCTGACTACTGAATACTGGCTTATGGACAGAATTCATAATTCCACATGAACTTAATAAAATGACATTACAGCTCAACGGTTAGGTGCCTCATGCATCAGAGGTAAGGAAATAGCGTAAACTCGTCTTAAACACTAAATCAAACTACATATAAAGGTCGTCGTCCGCTTGGTTTGCGGTTACAGACTGCGAGTTCAAGTGCAGTTTTTTTTTGGTTCCTGTACGTTTCACATGTACAGGACGCATTGCTTATAACCCAATAAAAATACTCGGTTCTTTTTTCAGGTCTGAATTATAGGCTTCTTCTTAGAATCCAATAGTTTACGGGATCAGGAATGAACATTCGGAATGCACGGGTGAGTTTCATGTTCTATGGGGCCTGATCAAGCAAACAGCCAACTGACCTTTTAAATATGCGCGATTGCAATCTGGACTGCCTGCCGGAGAATTACCAAATGAAGTACTATTTTTATCATGGATTGTCTTGGCCACAACTCTCTTATGTTGCTGAGACAGATGATGGAGAGATTGTCGGATATGTTCTGGCAAAGATGTTGGTGGAAACGAAAGTTTTGTTAACTCTATCACTGTCTTTCTAGGGAAGAGGATCCCGAAGACGTCCCTTATGGACATATCACCTCTTTGGCTGTCAAGCGCCCTTACAGACGTTTGGGTATTGCTCAGTCCCTTATGAACTTTGCTTCACGAGCGATGGTTGAGAATTTTCATGCGAGATACGTGTCCCTCCATGTGCGGAAAAGTAATAGAGCTGCACTGACTTTATATAAGAAAACACTCCACTTTGTGTAAGTTGGCTACACAAGTTTGTATCGTCCATTTCTGTCCTAATAAGTGTGGCTGACGTGGAACCAAAGTACTATGCTGATGGTGAAGATGCTTATGCTATGAAGAGGGATCTGCGGTGCATATGGGAGAAGGTACAATTTCTGTTCCTCTCAACATCTCTTTTCCAGTACGGACCCCCTGGTGTACCTTTTAAAGAAACGAAAAACAAGTTGGACACGTAATTATTTCACGGCTTTTTGAAGTGTTGCCGACCCATGATTACACTACGTGAAATTTAAGCGTACGACTTTTTTCTTCGATAAATTGGAATATGGGTGATACATTTTACAGTAAACTTAAACTTCACCACCGTATTTAGCATAGATAAGCTTCGCGCTCGGTCCACTCTTGGAGCACTTGTGTTTTAGCACTGTCACGAACTTCTAAGTTCTTTTGGATTGTGTTTTAGCACTGTCACGAACTTCTAAGTTTCTTTTGTATGCGGCGGTTCCATCTAGGTACCGTTACAGAGGTAACTAAAGTATCTCTAGGTTCGTCTTCAGGTCTTTTCCGTTGACCAAACTTATTAGCTTGGACTGATCTGATTGATTACATTACTCATTTTGTATGTATGGCATCATGGTCCTTTCGGGTTGTATTGCCGCTATGTACCCTATCCGAATGATTTGCTTTTTGTGGTCAACGGACTGTTCGACTAAAAGGTCTAACTAACGAGTGTTGTTAATTGCGATTATTTTATACGCTGGGAATATGAGTTTTGGCGCAGATTTCTAGAATGTGTTTGAGTAACGTGGTCGGATTCCGATCTAGAGGGCAGATAATGGAACCATGCTCACGTAAGTACAGTTCGGAAAATGCTAGCTCGACTGATTATTGATGGTTGATGATTCATCTGAGAAAAAGCAGCCTGTTCGCAGCTGTCTCAGCATTTTAACAACCAGAACACACGTACTGGCATCTTAGTGACACATTCAATAAGGATGTTTACGCGACAAGTTTAACGTTTCCAAGTTCGATTTGTGAAGACCTGCCTAGTATCAATAAAAATTTGCGATAGTGATATGGTACTATGGATGGAAGGCGGCGGCTGTACTTAGTTTATGGTACCTTCGTACGGAAAGTATTTATTGCATCAACCTATTTCACACAGAAACATCCTGCATTGTCTATTCTTAAAGGAATTTCACCCGCTTTCGAGGTGAACTATTCGTTGATCAACCATGCCACCCGATGAAATAAACACAAATGGGTTACGTCCTGGATGTGCTTGAATTCCTCAGAAAGGCTACTTCTGTGATCTCGTGACAAAATTTGGCTTATAGTGTCCCCTAGTCTTCTACAGATCCGGTGTGAGATGAAAGCTGCCGCACGTTCCACCGGTTAGGCACACTGTTTGCTCGCTATCGATGGGTTTACTAGGCCTCGAATTCAATACAGCCACGGACTAGCCGTAAGAAAACACTATTCCACCACCTATCACGCAGGACGCCTACGATAGCTGTACCACATGACATATGTTAACTGTCGCTGGGTGGAGGGAGAGTAGAGCAACGTGAGTATCCAGGGCTATGAACCAAATGAGGGCAACCAACTGCTCCATCACATTGCCTCAGCGAGAAACTTTCCTCCGGGATATCCCGACAATTCCTCATGGACAAGGTTTTCTAAATGGTTGGATTAAATTGGTTACGCAACTATAGCGGGCAAACCTTGGAACGATGCTCTTATGGATACTGACAGCGAAACAACAATCAGATCCGAGAAAATTTGTGGTGCGACGACGGAATTATAACAGGAAGTCCGGATGGGGTCCACTAGACTTGAGTTTAGTTTAATTCCGCCTCATGGGTGTCATTTTGGATTGGCAAACATTTAGATGTAGTCTACGTTTGTCATATCTAATTATTTGATTTATCCGGTCGCTTTCAATGGGGAGTGAGTTTTGTCCCAACGCTCGAATTTCGTTCTGAGTTCGCTTTCTTCATCAGTTACCAACCGTGTACCCTGGGTACATTGGCTACAACTGCCATAGTTTTGGTTACCAAAAAATTGGGTAGCATGAGAGATATAGTCAACATTGGCACGGTGTACCGGGACAGCGACTGCTGCGACAGTTTTTGGTTTACTGTTGTAAGTAATTTGGAACACTTGAGGCATCAGTATAGCTTATCGCGGATTGGGTGGAAAAATTACCAGGTGAATGGAACACTGGTCAGTTATTTGGTCGCGCTTTCAACAGTCCCATAAAAGCCTTACCTAGGTGCCCTATGTACATCGTCAACAGATTCAGTGTTGTGTTGCTTGTCAAGATCCCCGATTCGACAGTAGGCTGAACCACCCGCTTCCATCATAAAGCCACTAGATGTTATCACGGTGTTACGGTTTGCGTCCTTTAGAAACCAAACAAACTATAGCGGACGGTACTCATGCGGCTCGATAGCATTTCTGATCTCAGGTTGTCAGTCGACAGAGGCTTGACAAGTAGTCTGCTGGCCTCTTCCAGGATGGGTTTTGAAACAAGTATGACAACTTACTCCTGGAAATTTAACCTACGACGGCAGTTTTACGATTTTGTGGTTAGGCTTTTAAATCATAACTTTTGATTGAGGACTGTGATCGTCCTCGTTTTTGGGGCTCTATTCAACTTCGGGTGACTCTTCAACTGCTGCGACTCGCTAAACCGCTATTAGTATAGCTCTCAGCTCATGCGCTGAGGTCTTACTTTATTAGATTTGTGATTTATCTTAATGCATCAACTAACTTTAGCACTGATTTCGTGAAATACACTTCGGTGATAACCAATAATTCCATTTATCCACCACCAAAAGTTCAACCATAATCCTGCTCACGGGAGATTTCAGTGCACATGCAGGGGTCTCCAGTTCACGCGATGTGCGATTTAGTGGCAACTTTAGTTAAGAACGCAGACGTAATGATAATGGTGAATGTTCTTCACAACTCCGTGTTGACCACCAGGTGTTACTCAGTGGTAGTGGTAATAGGCGCAGTGGACGGCCTTGCGCTATCAGATGTCCCGCTGCTGCTGAACAACTACCTTGGAAACAAATGGCGGGGCTCATTAGTGTGCCGACGAACATTCTAGGTTGATTCAGACCACGCTTATTTTACGTGGTGAACCTAAAAACAGTCTTTTTAACAGTTGAAAAGCCCTCTGGGCCACGGAAGTAAAAAAAACATGATGAAAACGTGATGCTTTGAAACGGGTCTGTTCAAAATAGGTCAGCCGTACCCAAGAAGAGGCAACCACCGCTACATATATGATGCATGTGTTTCCCAGCACACATGCTAACCGTTGTACCTCAGAGCAGTCGCTTCCACTTCGTAAAACATCTAATGTGAGTTAAGCGAAGAAATTATTGGATGCCCAGTGTATCCTAATCTCTGGGTAGAATATCTCCGATTAATGGCTAGTTGGCCATATGCTCCTGTTCCTCTCTTTCATTTGATCCACTCAACTCCATCCGTGGTCTGCGGGTTGGGTTCCCCCGTCGGTATATAAATTACTTACGTACCTTTACGCCCCTAAGCACCATCGGGCTACCAAACGAGATGAAATTCAGTCCTTTTTTTGTGTTCTACCATAACTAGATTGTTCTGAACTTACTTGGAAACAAAATTGCGTTCCAGGCAACGGGGACCAATCAGTAACTGTATCTCCTTTTAAGCAGGGCAAATGAAGCGACTGTTCCAAACATAAAGGTATCAGCCTAACGCCTATCACAAGAGACTACTGGCCTCATAATACTACGACGTCGAGCCCTGGCACGTGAAGCACGAGTTCGAGGGCTCAAAGGAAGATTCCGTCCGGCTAGATGATGCATTGACCGCATGTCAAATGGCTTGACAGTACCGTACTATCGGCCACTTGGGGTTTTCATCGACTTTAAAAGGGCATTTGACTCTAGATATGCCAGTTCCCCTACATATACTTGGTCGGAGAGCTGCTACTTCCCTCCCCCCGTGGCTCCTTCGTGCCTATTCCCAGGTCTTCAAGATATTTCTGTAAGTTCTGAGCTTCGCCTAGAGTGTGTTGTTCCATCATGTCTGTCAGTCGTGAGCAAGCAGTGACGCCGTCACTTGCCGCGTTTCAGTGGTGTCGATTTCTTGGGTTTCAAACTCGTCCTTTTCTCACTGAAAGCGTTATGGCGCATTCGTCGTGAACGTATCTGTTCAATGTAATGAATGGAATACAAGTTAACTGAACCACCTGATCGTCCAGTAGTAGTGGTTTTTGTAATACAGTAATGAGTTAAAGAGTATTAGAGAATTGGTCTTTGTAAGGGTCCATGGAGTAGTCTTTCAGTATGACGGATTTTCTGTTAAGTTTGCGGTTCCACGGTTCCACTTTTCTCTGAGTTAGATGGTTCTATTGCGTCAGCCCTGCATACGGTTGTCATTTTATTTCGAGCTTCCTGTATTTCAGACTTTCGTTAACGTAACAAACGTTGTCTACTGTTAGCCTGTGGTGCAGACAGAAAAACATAGTCAGGCAAAACTAGCATCTGCTTTACACTGCTCAAATTCCCTCTACTGCATTTAAGTCGAGACCCATACGGAAAGCACGACCATCTAATGAGTCATTGGAAGAACTTGCTATATGGCTATTTTGACCGAATTTAAAAGGATTGAAGACGCACACTTCATAAAGTCGTTAGCTGTCTGAGCTGAGGGGTGCGTCAATTCAATCGGTGCTTCATTGAGTCAACGAAAAAGGGCGTTAGAAAGTGTTGAGTCTAAGAAGGCCTCCGGAACTAACTAACACCTTAAGGGCTTGGTGTACAAAACAAATATGAGGGCACCCTTAATTCACTGAGAAGGTGTTATATGTTCTGAAACTCTTATTTACCGGGGTCTTCGTAGCATAGCAGGAGTTAGTCGACTGCATCGGGTAGCTTAGGCGAGTATATTGTGACCATTCCATGAGAAGCGAAAAAGTACATGTACTGGGCAAGCCCACCAACTGTCTGTCAACGAAGATGCTTAGTCATTCCTAACCCACCCTGGGTGAGTCAGGAGGTATGGCTTACGACATGTTTGCGAGAAGTGAAAGAGTCCACAGTCAAGCTGGGTGCTGGGGTACTTCAGCGCCTTCCTGGGTAAAGTCCGCTTTACTTTCCCGAAACGGGGTTAGAAACCTTGCAGGGCATGGCACTTATCCGATTCAAGTGTTCTTCATGTTTCGTTTTGTAGCCTAACTGGC